GCGCTAAGTTGTTTAGCGCTGTTACTCTTGAGCATATTGCGCGAATTTAATGAATTCTTTATAGTGGTTTTTTATTGCCCAATGATATCACTCCGTTGTGTTAAATAGCTCATTATATAAGTACTTCTTAACCTATCCTGTGGTGAAGCAATTCGATTTAAAGTGTGAGGTATTCAAATTTAAAATTACGAATTAGTCGGTATTAGTAGACATATTTGAAAATTCGTCTATTAGATAAGCCTACAATAGGACTACCGTTATTCAGTTAAATAAGTAATGAAACCAGTTGTTGAAAGAGTGCCGCAGAGATTTACTGTATAGTGTATCCGTATTTAACCAAATCGTTTCCTCTCGTATGTATCTAGAAAAGGTTTGCATGCCGAAAGCATCTTAAAACTGAAGATGAAGCCAACGTTACCGTCAATGGCCAGCGTAATCATTTATGAGCTAAATGGTTCCAATAGGACGGTGTAATAGCCCATCACTTTATTGTGACGCACTTTTGGTGAGGTGACCGAAACATATCAAGAAATGGGCCAATCATGCGATTTGACTCCGTTAGACTACATACTTTTGATGGGCGTAAGCCAAGACAAAGGCCTACGCAGATAAAACAACTGCAACTGACTAGTTGGTAACCAATATTCGGTGCGTTATTGACGATAGAAAGCTGACAGTATGGTCTTCATAAGGCTCAGCGCGGTGGCCATGCAACCGAAATTGTGCCTTAGCACTAAATTCCATAAAATTTTCAAATTAATAAAGCCAAAATATTGGCAATTTCATTAATTTTTCTGTGTTTTATTTGAAATAAAAGTTATATACACTCAGGCCTTTTTGTTTATGTGGTACATGCGTTCCTCAGAAAGCCTCATAAAAAAGTTCTTTACTTTCATACAAAAACAGGGGATGCGTTACAGCATTTACAAAAACTGCACATATTCAGATACTCCATGTAAAAAAATCTAAAAAACAACAAAAAATCTAGTGAGACAATATTAGGCAAAAAAAAAACAAAATTTATTTCTTTTCTTCAACTCTTATTATTCAATGTAAAACTGAACATAAATGAAATACATAAAATTTTATCTGTATTTTAACCAAAAACAAAAAAAACGATATCACCATAAATATATGAATTATTTAAGTATACAAGGACAAATTATTTATCTGAAGTACACACTGAAAAAAGTTATAAAAACTCTCCAAAAAGTAAAATCCATACAACAAGAAAATGGTTTGAAAAACCGCATAAATTCATATCCGCATAAAAACCGCGAAAAAGAGACCTAATTCTATGTAAATACCTCTAAATATACTACCCGATACCGAATACTCAATGTTACTCATACGCTGCGCAGTGCTCAAATACTTGATTGAGTTTAAGTAGAAAAATTGCTAACTTTGCCAGATACAATAATCAAAAAGCAGTATGAAATTTGTAATATGCAAAATTCATCTACGTATTTTCATTATGAATATTCACCCACCAACTAATCATTTCATAATATTTATGTAGTTGCCCATTACCTACATTGTGAACACCTTATATCCATCAAAGACGAATTTGGTCTCATTAAATTCATATTATTTTCCATTTTATGTTTAAACGAGACATACATACATACATACATACATACATACATACATACATACATGCGTATACTAAAGAAAAACAAGTATAGAAATAAAAGCAAAAGTATTTATAAGCATAAAAAAATTTTTGTTGCGGAAACATAAATTCATTTGTAAATATGTATATTAGACTGCATCACCAAAAATAGTCGTGGGTTTTCCGCCGGAACTTCCAAACTTATTATATTCTAAGATGTCCACCAAAATATTTCAGAAAAATATTAAGATTTAAGCGAGCTGGACCTATTTGAAAATACCTCCAAAAATGGAGTTTTTTATGAATACAAATAGTTTCTTAAAGAACTTTTCGGAAAAAAGTCCCCTCAGATGACAAAACAGATTAGGCTTAAAAACACTGCATAAAATTATTTAAAAATCTTTTCAACGGAATCTTTTTTCAAAGATTGAT